CTTAACTCCCAGGCGTCATGTGAGTGAACAGAAGAGGAGACACATAAGCCCAAAGCTGTGGCGCAGCTCTTCAACAGTATCCACAAAATGAATGAATGGAAAGCATGTACATGGTGTGAAAGGAACCCCTGCCCTCCTGCAGCTTACATTGTTTATTTTTTTTACTTTTACAACTTTATTTTATTCAATGAAAGACACCGTATCACATAATACTTCATTTTGAGTGGGATTGAGACCACCTACCCAAGTAAAAATTCAGAGGTTTCTCTCAGTAGAAAACAGAAGTTTTATTCTAGCAAGTCTCTCTTGAGAGTTAGGCATCACCTACCCAGGGCAGACTGGAGTAGGGAGGCAGGATATAACAGCAAGCAAGCAGTTAGACACCCTTAGACAAACCACTCCGAGAAACCCACCTCCCCACTTGTTTACCTCAATCTCTTTATCCTCATTGGCTGAGGCAAGAGACCTTACAACCTATATTTAGAACCCAAGAGATACATTTTACCCAAACCAAGCTTGGAAGCTAGAAGATTGCCTTATTTGGTAAAGATAAGTGTGGTGATGGTTACAAAACAAGGGAGGGGGTGGGCAGCTGGTGTATGACCCTATTACATGATTTACAGGAAAATGAAACTTAGGCCCAGCTAATGCTAAAGCCTTAACTAAATTTGGGGGCGTAGCTTCCATTTCACATGAGAAACTTCCACTTGTCCCACACAATTTGATACTGAGGGTGTTTATATTCTAATGGGGGGGTTAGCATTTTAGTCTGGAAAGTGACAGGAATTATGTCAGCCAGTCAACATTTGTTAAATTTAAATGTTTACTCTGTGCCAGGCACTGTGCTAAGTGCTGGAGATACAAAGAGAGACAAAAAAAAAAGTCCCTGTTCAAATTCTAATGGGGGAGAAAACAGGCAAAAGAAGGGGAAAAAAAAAACTAGGTACATCTACAATGGAATGGAAAGTAATCTCAGAGGGACCCCACTAACAGTGGGGGTGGGAGCAGGAAAGGCTAGGGAAAGCCTCATGCAGAAAGTGGGATTTGGAGGGGCAGCTAGGTGGCACAGTGGATAGAGCACCGGCCCTGAAGTCAGGAGAACCTGAGTTCAAATGCGGCCTCAGACCAACACTTGACACTTACTAGCTGTGTGACCCTGGGCACGTCACTTAACCCCAATTGCCTAAAAAAAAAAACATTTGGATTGGAGCTGATTCTGGAAGAAAGCCAGGAGTTAGAGAGAGGAAGGAAAACCAGAGAAAAGAGCTAGAGTCAGGAGATAAAACACACGTGTGCTAGCAACAGCCAAAAAGACAGTTTTGTTGGAACATAGACTGTGTGGAGGGGAGAAAAGTCTAAGACTAAGGTAGGAAGGGGTCAGGGCAGGTTGTGAAGGGCTTAAAAAGCCAAAGGATTATATTGTTCCGTCCCGCCCAGCTCTCCGTGACCCAGAAATAGGGGAGTGTTTTGCCCCTTTACAGATGAGAAAATGGAGGCAAATAGGATTACATGGCTTGCTCAGGGTCACACAGCCAGTAAGTGTCAGAGGCCAGATCTGACTCCAAGTCAGCGTCCCCGATGGACTAGAATGGCCCAAGCCAATGCAGGTGACGTGTTTCCTCTGTCCTTTCTGCCCAGCTGCCCTGGGCACGGAGACATTAAATACCTGCTCAGAACTTGAACGCGGGACTTCCTGACTTGGAGGCCATCTCCCTTCCCATTACTATATGGCTAATCACCAAACCACCACTAATAGTTTGCTGTGGAGAAAGTGTCGTGTTCACTTTTGAGTGTTACAGAAATAGGAACTTTTACAGCTTCCTCCTCACAATCACTCTGGGAGTGTCAGCATGAACAGCCCCATTTTACAGGTTAGAAGAGACTTGCCTCCTGTGAAACAGCCACTGAGTGTCAGAGCCAAAGGTTGAACCGAAACTCTTCTGGTTCTAAGTCAGCACCTTCATTCCTCTAACCAGCTAGCATTTATCTAGCCCTTTAAGGTTTGTCAAGTACTTTACATACATTATCTCAACAACTCTGGGAGCCTCTATTTGGGGAAACTGAGGCAAGCAGAGGTGAAGTGACTTGTCCAGGGCCACACAGGTAGTAAGTATCAGAGGCAGGATTTGAATGGAGTCTTAATGACTCCAGCCCCTAGGCTTTATCTGCAGTGCCACCTAGAGGCCTCTTAACTTTCTTTCTTTCTTTCTTTCTTTTTTTTGAAGTATGAATCCCTCAGATTCATACTTTTGAGATCTGGTCTTTTTATCAGGAAGGTTTGGAAAGTCCCCTATTTCATTGAATATCCATCTCCTCCCTTGCTGGGTAGTTGATCTTTGGCTGCAATCCAAGCTCCTTTGCCTTACAGAATACCATGTTCCAAGCGGTCTTTTAATGTAGAAGCTGCAAGGTCCTGTGTAATGCTTACTGTGGTTCCATGATATTTAAACTATTTCTTTCTGGCTGCTGCAGCACCTTCTCTTTCATCTGGTAATTTTGGAACTTTGCTATTATATTCCTTGGCATCTTCAATTGGGGACCTCTTTCAGGTGGTGAGCGGTGTATTCTTTCTATGGCCATTCCACTCTCTGGTTCTAGGACTCCAGGGCAGCCCTCCTTCCCGATTTCCTGAGAGACACTCTCCAGGCTCTTCTCCTCATCACAACTTCCAGGCAGCCCGATAGTTTTCATATCATCTCTCCCGAATCGACCCTCCAGGTCGGTTATCCCACCGATGACGTATTCTACGCTTTCGTCCGTTGTTTCACTTTTTTACCTCTGCCTGACTGATTCTTGCTCTCTCATACAGTCATCAGTTTCCACGTTTCCAATTCCAGTTTTCAACAGATCGTTTTCCTCCGCTAGTTCTTGTACTTCCTTCTTCAGTTGGCCAACGGTGTTTTTCAGGGACCTGTTTTCCTCAGTACACTTCCTTTCCACTTGGCCAGTTGTGTCCTCTAAGGACTCTTCTTCCTCTCTCATCCAACCCCCCAAATCCTTCTTGAGCTCTTCCAAGAAGGCCCTTCGGGCTTCAGGCCGGTTCATATTTCCTTTTGACGTTGCACATGTGGCTTTGCTGACAGTGTTGTCCCCTTCAGAATCTCTGTCTTGATTTTCCCTCCTCTCACAATATGAATCCACGGTATGTTTCTTTCCACTTACGGTGTTTCTTATTCCCTGGCCTTTAAAGAGACTGAGCTCTCCTGCTGGGGAACAGAGAGCACCGACCCAAGCTCCCTGCATTGGGAGCCAAGGTCCTGGTCACTGGCTCTGTGTGTCTGGGGTCTCCTATGTTGGTAATTAGAAGCTGTAGGGTTCTAGCAGCCCACCTCGTGCTGGGCTGGAGTCAGCGAGGCTGGAACTTTCAGGCAACTCTAGATTACCTGCTCTCCCCCTCCTTCAGCCTTCCTCAGATCCTTCTAGGTGGGTGGTGCAGGGTGTTCATCTGCCTGGGGCCCCTTGCTGTGCTGCCTCCCTCCTCTCTGCTAATGCACTGGGAGATTCCCCTGTGGTAGAGTGCCGAGGCACCTGCTGGTTTTCTGAGCTGGCCTCCACCGGTTCTCCTGCCCTTACCGAGGCACTCGGAGGTCCAGGTGCCGGTGTTTGCCTGCTCTACCACCTGGGCTTCAGGATTTCTTCCTGGTTGACAATTGGAGGCTGCAGGGCCCAGACAGCTTACCTGGTGTTGGGCTGGAACCAGCAAGGTCGGGGCTTTAGAAAGACTCTAGGTTGCGATCTTCAGCTCCTTTCAGATGAATGCCACAGGGTACTTATCAGCCTGGGGTCCCTTGTAGTTCTGCCTCCCTTATTTTTGCTGAGGCACTGGGAGGCCCATTTGCTGGGCTGCTGCACTACTGCTCCTTGTCTTTCTTCTAGTTCAGGTGTTCCAGGGTTTTCTTCTGGGGTGATATTTTCTGGGTTTTCAGAGGTTGATAGGGGAGAGTGAGAGTGACTACCTTTTTACTCCGTCACCTTGGCTCCCAGAAGTGCCTCAGATTCTTCTTTTAAGTTAATAAAATAAAATTTTACATCAGATTAGAAAGGAAACCATCATATGAAAATAATTACCAAGTATTTTTGAAAAACAAGCTTGTGGTCCCCAGGTTAAGAACTCCTGCGCTGGGGCAGCTAGGTGGCGCAGTGAATAGAACACTGGCCCTGAAGTTAGGGGGACCTGAGTTCAAATCTGGCCTCAGACCAAACACTTGACACTTACTAGCTGTGTGACCCTGGGCAAGTCACTTAACTCTACTTGCCTAAGGGGGGAAAAAATTTTAAAAAAAGAACTCCTGTGCTAATGACTGATGGCATCCTGTGATTTTGGAGCAAGGAGCTTTTCCATGTTTAGGGAGCCTTGGACCAGGTGCCACTCAATTCTGTGAGGCATTTATAAATCTGTATGCCCCCTCTCACTGTTGTGGTTTGAGTACAATTCAGAGGGCCAGAAGGAGGCCTTTGCAGGAATGCCATGGCCACAAGTCCAAGGTACTTCCCATCCCCTATTGGACAGCACTGATTCAGAATCATCCCTGGCATTGAGCTGACGTCTCTCTCCCTGTAGCTTCTCGGCCTCCACCCAAGCATGGACTCTTTTACCTCGTATCTTCAGACGGTTCAGCCCCCCACCTCCCACCAGCTCCCTACTCATTTTCTTCTTCCAGCTCTGGGTCCCACCCTCCTCCAAACACCAGCTTTTCAATCTTCTCTCCCAACCTACTTCTTCTGACAGTTAAGTACGGATTTCTCTACAGCAGAGGGTCTCAGCAGAGCAGCAGTACTGGGTTTGGAATCGGGAGACCTAGATTCAAAGCCTAGTTCTGTACCCTTTTTGTGATGTCAAGTCTGTTGCTTGACTTCTCAGAGAAGGGGAGTGGGTCTCAGTTTATCTATCCGTAAAATGAGGGCCTTGGCCCAGATGACCTCTGAGGACCCTTCTGGTTCTGAGTCTCTGAACCCCAAAGGATCAATGGAGGAAAAACACGCAAGTCAGGAAAGCCTGAAAAAGCACCTTTTACTAGAGGCTTTGTCAAGAGCAGGGAACACCAGGTGTTCTCTAGCATGAGATCTGAATCTAGGGCCTATTTGTTGAAGTTGAGCCGGATTAGAAGACCCCTCAGTCGCTTCACCCAGCTGGGTTTGGCAGCTACTTGCTCCCTCGGAAGGCTTTGTGCTGATGATTCTCCCGGCCCATCATCACAGAAGGATTGATCTGGGGGTGAAGAGTCCCTTTCCAAGTGCAGGGAAGTACAGTCCCTGGTGAAGCCTCGGGGGTCAGACCCTTCCCCCTCTTCTCTGTCCCAGGATCTCCCAGGGAGCCCAGCCTGGGGTATTCCTGAGCTCCCAGACCCACTTAGGAAGTCAGGATCCTCTTGGTGTTGGCCGTGGTTGGAAACTGAGGTTGCTGAGCTGGCATGCCTTGGGGACCAGGGCATCTTGTTCATGAAGGCCGTGCCTAGTCTCATGGCTACAGTCCGAAAAGGTCCTTTGGTCCTGCCTGAGGGATAAGAGGAGGCCCCTGACTCGGGTGTCCTGCCTCCTGGAGACCAAAAAATCTTTTTTCTCTGTTCTGCTGGCAAGAGGTGGACTTCTGATCTGTGGCCCTGAGGGGTGTCCCCACCAGAATCGCTCATGTTCTGCGATTGAGAGGTGGAAGGCATCGACCAGTGACACACCATTGCCCAGGGCAGAGCCTGGCTGTCTTGGGAGACCTTCGGGTTCATCTCCTTTTTGCAGGGATCATTTAGCCAAGCCTTCATGCTGGCTCTAGGACTGGGGCTCCCTAGCTTCTCAAAGACTCCCTGGGCCGCGTTAGAAGGGCCCGACCTCGGCTCTGAGCCGCTCCCCCAGCTTCCAGGAGATGTCTCCTCTGCAGTCTCCTGACTGCCCCTGCACTCGCAGGCCCCGGTGGACAGGGAATCTTTGGGGCTGGATCCTGTCTGCTCCCTGGTGGCACCTCCCCGGGGACAGTCTGTGATGAATGGCAGCACGGCCTGAGACAGAGCCTCATCGCAGGGATCTTGTGGTTCCCAGAGATTTGGCGACTGTTTGGGCCCCTTAGCTCCATCAAGGCTGATGGAGAGGCCCCTCACATCTGGACAGTCTGGGTCATTTTTCCCTTTCTTCTTTCTGGGTGACATGGGCAGCTTCTGGGCTTCCTTCTCTTGGCACTTGAGTCTCTCCTTGAATTGGAAAAACAGCTGTAGCCCAGGGTCAGGGGCGCTGCTAGCAGCCTTGGGAAAGCTCGGGTCCTGGCAGCTGCTTTGGGTCACCGTCTCTCCCAGGATAGGCTCACCTTCTTGCATCTTTGACTCTCCCTTAATGGTCTCTTCTTCTGGGCTGGAGTACTGCATGCCAGCATTAGAAGGTGAAGAGTGCCCCATCAGCTGAAACAACCACTCAGACTCCTGGATCCTTCGGGGGAGACCCCACTTCAGGTGGGTGATCTTGCGCCGCATGAGGGGTTCCAGAAGGAGCCGGGAGCTCTTCTTTAGGGTTGACCGCTTCGGGGGCACTGCATGAGTAGATGTAACCTCTTTGAAATAAGTATCTGAGGGTGTTGGGGGATGGTTACTATCATCTGCGGGTGTAGTGAAAAGGGGGAGAGGATTCAGAGCCCAGCTTTCTTCACTCCACCCCGGGGAAGGTATGTCATGGTGGCTGAGCTCCAGGGCAGTGCCCCCAGCTTGGCCACACTGGTGCTGATGCTGACCTGGCATGAGACTGATGCCACCTCCCACCCTGTGCCCCCTTCCAGAGAAGTCCTTATGGGAGTCTTGAAGACTTTCCTCCCTTGCAGGGGCCTGGAGACCCTCCCACATTTGGACCAGTGGCAGTATCCGAGGAGTGGTATCAGGGGACTTCTCAGCAGCCTCCAGTTCCTGTTCTGAGACTTCTGAGTCAACATCTTCCAAAGCCAGGCTCCATGGGAAGCTGGTATCTTTGTAGGTGAGACTCTCCCTTCCTGAGCTATTGGTTTGAGAACCTGCCTCTAATATATCTTCACCTACAACCAGCCCCTCCCCCACTCCCAAGGCCTGGATGGACGGGGTGCCTTCATCCCTGGCCAGCCGCTGGTCTTCTCTCTCTAGTTCTAGTTCCTGTGCTTCAGGTACTTCCACGAGCTGATCCACAGGCGTGCATGGCCTTTCAATGGGCAGGAGAGAGTGGCAAGGTGTCCCCTCTGGAGCAGGTGGGGAATCAGGAAGGGGGATTTCCTTTGAGATGGGGATAGGTGCTGGCAGGATGATGGATGTTGTCTCCCGGGCCTGCTCCATCCAGCCCGGCCCCTCCAGGACTTGGGGCAGGGGTACCTTGCAGAGAAGATGAGCCTGGATATCATAGAACCCTCGAGCAAACTGCCAGCCCCCCAGGACGTATAGTTCCTTATGGTACTCCTCCAGACACCTACAGGAGCTTGGGAAGAGTGGGGAGCAGACACCAGGCTCACCCAATTTCTCAAGGCCTGTGTGTCCTGACAGCTGGGAGAGCAGGTACTGGGCCCAGGATTCCCGGAGCTTCTGGGGTGGTCCCCACTTTTGCCGGTGGACTAACTTCTGGACATGGATTTCCAGGCGCTTTTGGGTGCAGGGGCAGATGGAGAGCCCAGGAGATGGCACAGGGATGGCTAAGTGATGCCAGGGAGGCACTGCCTTCAGCATTGACAGCTGTGGAGTACAGAAGCAGACAACATCAGGATGGAGGATGGGCTTGTCATGGCCTCTTGCCCCCACCCTCACCTCCCACAGAACCTAATATCCGGTGTAGCCCTCTGGCAGCCCGAGGGTCAGGGTCTGAGTGCTGGCTTTGTGACCCTGGAGCATCCTCTCCCCTGCTTTGAGCCTGTTTCCTGAACTATAAAATGATGGAGTTAGCTAAAATGATCCCTGAAGACTTTGCTAGCTCTAGATCCTACCATCTCTCTGATTTATCTCTGCAATGATGCATGTCAGTCAGCTCTCCTCTGTTTCCACAATCCTCCTCTGGGTCTTATTACTGCCTGCCTTGACTACAGAGCTTCCCCGCTCTTTGTCTGTTCTAGTCTATGAGAGTTCGCATTTCCATAGTTTGGAAAGCACTTTCCTCACAGCAACCCTGTGGTGCAGATAAATATAATCTCCATTTTCCAGATGAGGAAATCCTCCAGTAGCACACACCAAGTCTCCATTATTTTCATGTTCTAGCCCCTTCCACTTCCCACACCCGACTTCTAGTGGGTTCTCCCTGTCTTTGGACTCGGTGGCATGGTTGGGGCAGGAAAGAATCCATCAACAAGCTTTAAGTAAGGACTTTCTATGTGCCAGGCAGGCCCTGTGCTAGGCTCTGAGGACCAAGGACAAAAATAGTCCCTGCCCTCCAGGAACTTACTACCTTCTGTAGTGGGAGACACGGACACATAGAAGTATATACAATGCCAATGGGAAGCCATTTGGTGAATGACATATTAGCAGCTGCAGAGAGTGGGAAAGGCCTCAGGGAGAAGGTGATGCCTGAACTGAGCTTTGAAGGAAGCTCAGGGTTCTAAGAGATGGAGCTGATAAGGGAGGGGCATTTCAGGCATGGAGGACAAGACTGCGCAAAGATGCCTTGCTGGGAAAAGGAATGCCCAACAGAAAGCCAGCAGGGCAAAGGTGTGGAATGCTCAAAGTGGGGTAAAGTGCCGTAGGCCCAGAGACACAGACTGGTTCTAGGTTAGGAGGGGTTTTAAATGCCAAGCAGAGGAGTCAGTGTTTGATCTCCGCTGCCTAGAACAGTAGCATCATATAGAAGTCACTTAATAAACGGCTGTTGATCAATTGAACCTAGAGGTCATAGGAAGCCACTAGAATTTATTGAGTAGGGCAGTGACGCGGTCAGATCTTTGCTTTAGGAAAATCACTAGGGCAGCTGAGGGTGGACTGGGAAGAGCCCAGGGAGGCCAGTTGAGAAGTTGTTACAGTAATCCAGGTTACAGGTAATGAGGAGGGAACAGGATAGAGCCTATATGGAGGAGAAAAGGCAGGGACTTACCTGAGCTCTCCCAAATTCCCCTCCAAATAACTTTAAAATAATGTCTTAAAGGGGCAGGCCAGGTGGTGCAGTGGATAGAGCACTGGCCCTGAAGTCAGGAGGACCTGAGTTCAAATCTGGCCTCAGACCAAACACTTGACATTTATTAGCTGTGTGACCCTGGGCAAGTCACTTAACCCCAACTGCCTTAAAAAAAATAGAATTGGCCAAATGGAAAAGGAAGTACAAAAGCTCACTGAAGAAAATAATTCCTTAAAAATTAGAATTGAGCAAGTGGAAGCTAATGACTCCATGAGACATGAAGAAACAATCAAACAAAATCTAAAGATTGAAAAAAGAGAATCTCATTGGAAAAAGAACTAACCTGGAAAACGAATGCAGTAGAGATAATTTAAGAATTATTGGACTACCTGAAAGCCATGATAAACAAACCAAAAAAAGACAGAGAGAGGTAAACATCATCTTTCAAGAAGTTATCACGGAAAACTGCCCTAGTATTTTAGAACCAGAGTAAAATAGAAACAGAAAGAATCCACCCATCACCTCCTAAAATAGATCCCAAAGTGAAAACTCCTAGGAATATTGTAGCCAAATTCCAGAGCTCCCAGGTCAAGGAGAAGATATTGCAGGTAGCCAGAAGAAATAATTCAAGTATCAGAGAGCCACAGTCAGAACAACACAAGATTTAGCAATTTCTACGTTGAGAATCAGAGGGCTTGGAATATGATATTCTAGAGAGCAAAAGAACTGGGATTACAACCAAGAATCACCTACCAGCCAAAATGAATATAATCCTTTGGGAGAGGGGAAGGGGGGGGAATGGATAGTCAATGAAATAGAGGACTTTCAAGCATTCCCGATGAAAAGACCAGAGCTGAAGAGAAACTCTGATTTTCAAATACAAGACTGAAGAGAAGTATAAAAAGGTATAAAAGAGGAAAGAGAACTCATAAGGGATTCAATAAGGTTAAACTATTTACATTCCAACACGGGAAGATGATACTTTTAAGTCCTAAGAACTTTATTATGATTAGAGAGGAAGAGCATACATAGACAGAGGGCATGGGCATAAGTTGAAAATTATGGGATGATATCTAAAAAAATAAGGGGTGAGAAAGACGAATGCCCTGGGAGAATGGGGAAGGGAGAAGTAGAATGGAAAATTATCTCGCATAAGAAGAGGAGCAAAAGAGCTTGTACAGTGGAGGGGAAGATAGGAGAGTGCTTGAATCTTACTCTCATCAGACATGGTTCCAAGAGGGGAATAAATAACAGACACACTCAGCTGGGCACAGAAATCTATCTTATCCTACAGGAAAGTCAGAGAGGAAGGGGACAAGAGAAAGGGGAGGGGGCTGATAGAAGGGAGAGTAAATTGGGGAAGGCATTAGTTAGAAGCAAAATACCTTTGAGGATGGACAGGGAGGAAGAAGAGACAGAAAAGGATAAGGGGGGGGAATTGGATGCAAGGAAATACACAGTTATTAATCATAACTGAAAAAATGTCTATAGCAAGTTTCTCTGATAAAGGCCTTATTTCTCAAATATATAGAGAATTGAGTCAAATTTATGAGAATAGAAGTCTTTCCCCAGTTGATAAATGGTCAAAGAATGAGTAGTTTTCAGATGAAGAAATCAAAGTTATCTATAATCATATGGAAAAAAAATCACTCTAAATCACTATTGATTAGAGAAATGCAAATTAAAACAACTCTAAGGTACCACCCACACCTATCAGATAGATTGGCTAATTTGACAGAAAAGAAAAATGACAAATGTTGGAGAGGGATGTGGGAAAATTGGGACACTAATTCATTGTTGATGGAGTTGTGAACTGATTTAACCATTCTGTAGAGCAATTTGGAACTATGCCCAAAGGGCTATAAAACTATGCATACCCTTTGACCTAGCAGTGTCACTACTGGGTCTGTATCCCAAAAGAGATAAAAAACAAAAAGGAAAAGGACCTATATGTATAAAAAATATTTCTAGCAGTTCATTTCTGGGGGCCAAGAATTGGAAATTGAGAGGATGTCCATCAATTGGGGAATAGCTGAACAAGTTGTGGTATGTGATTATGATGGAATACTATTGTACTGTAAGAAATAATCATCAAGATGCTCTCAGAAAATCCTGGAAAGACTTGCATGGACCGATGCAAAGTGACATGTACTATGTACAAAATAACAGCAACATTGTAAAATGATCAGCTGTGAATGACTTAGCTATTCTCAGCAATACAATGATCTGAGACAACTCTGAAGGACTCATGATGGAAAAATGCTGTTCATTCCCAGAGAAAGCACTGATGGTGTCTAAATACAGATGAAGCATAATTTTTTTCTTTATTTTTCTTGAGGTTTTTTGGTCTGTTTTCTTTCACAACATGAATGTCATAGGTATGTTTTTCCATGACTACACATGTATAACCTCTATCAAACTGCTTGCCTTCTCAGTAACAGGGGTGGGGAGGGAGGAAGGGAGAGAATTTGAAACTCAGAGTTTTAAAAATGAATGTTAAAATTGTTTTTACATTTAGCTGGGGGGAAATAAAAATAAAATGCTAAAAAAAAAGAAAGAAAGAAAGAAAGAAAGAAAGAAAGAAAGAAAGAAAGAGAGAGAGAGAGAGAGAGAGAGAGAGAGAGAGAGAAAGAAAGAAAGAAAGAAAGAAAGAAAGAAAGAAAGAAAGAAAGAAAGAAAGAAAGAAAGAAAGAAAGAAAGAAAGAAAGAAAGAAAGAAAGAAATGATGAGGAGGATGCTCTCAGAAAAACCTGGAAAGACTTACATGAAGTGATGCAAAGTGAAATGAGCAAAACCAGAACACCGTAACAGTAACAGCAATATGGCATAATGATCAACTGTGAACAACTTAGCTATTCTCAGCAATACAATTATTCAAGACAATCATGGAGGATATATAATGAAAAATGCTATCCTTGTATGAAGGGGATTTGTTCTGTGAAGTTTGGATTCAGTCAAAGGGGTGCACTTGAGGACCTAGAGGGGCTGCAGGTTCCCCACCTCTAGCCAATGGTGATCTCTCTCTCCCACACCCCCTGGTGTCTGCATTACTACTAATGGCCAGCTCCTGTCTGTGTGTCTACTTTACTTGTAACCCATGGCCTAGGACAAAGCTCTGGGTCGTGCAGGTTCTGCCTTGAGAATTCCTCACTTAATATCTCCCTCTGGCACTGATCCCAGCCAAAGCTTTTCCCCAGGGAGTGAAGTTCGGGTGTTTCTGGATCCATCGCCAGAGCAACATCGAGAGGTGTCTGCTGTCTTGCAAACACTCTGGTCTCCTGATGGGCTTTCTTACTTACTTCCATGAAAACACAAAGCACTCGGCCGAGGGACCTTCCAAGGCCCACCCTGCAGAGCGTAACTAAGAACTTTGGAGCTTGGACCGCACGTTTGAGTGACTGGGGAAGTGGACAGAGGCCCAGAGTACCGCCTGTCTAGTAGTTTGCATTCTCACTGGGAAAGAGGATGGCCTGGCCCTAGAGGACCCAAAGACCTTTGATTCTCAAAACTCCAGCGCACTCCTGGAAGACAAAGTGGGGGAGGGAATGGGCAGAGGGGTAGAAGTGCTCATAACAGGACTCGGGAGAGGGGCAGGGCCTTTGGAAGTGGCGCCACCTGGTGAAGGGACAGTGAGACCGTCATGGAAAAGATGCCTACTCCCTGATGTTGGCCTCCTGGACAAAGGTCTGATTGCCCCTCCCCTGGTTATACCCATGGTTCCTTGACCCACATGGTTCTCTGGAGAGTCCATAGGCCTTCCTTCCAGAGAACTAAACCAGCTTCTGTCTGTCCAGCTGCCAGCCTTCTTTTCAAGCCTAAATTCCCAAGGCATAATAATTCAAATAGTATGAACCAGCAGTAACAAATCATCTACCATCAGAACTCACTCTTTGACAAAAACTGCTGGGAAAACTGGGAAAGAGCATGGCAGAAACTAGGCATAGAACAGCTTCTCACACCATGTACCAAAATAGAGTCAAAATGGCATCACGATTTAGATACAAAGGCTGACACTCTAAGCAAACTGGGAGAGCAAGGAATAGTTCACCTGTCAGATTTTTGGAGAACAGAAGAATTCATGACCAAACAGGAGGTAGAAAACATTACAAAATGCAAAATGGGTAACTTTGATTATATTGAATTGAAAAGGTTTTGCACAAAGCCAATGCAACCAAGATTAGAAGGAAAGTAGAAAATTGGGAAAGAATTTTTACAACCAGTGTCTCTGATAGGGGCCTCATTTCTAAGAATTAAGTCAAATATATAAGAATACGAGTCATTCCCTAATTGATAAATGGTCAAACAATATGAACAGGCAGTTCTCAGAGGAAGAAATTAAAGCCATCTATAGACCTATGAAAAAATGCTCTAAATCACTATTGATGCAAATCAATAAATGCAAATCAAAACAACTGAGGCACCACATCACACCTATCAAATTGGCTAACATGACAAAACAGAAAAATGATAAATGTTGGAGAAGATGTGGGAAAATTGGAACACTAATGCATTGTTGGTGGAGTTGTGAACTGATCCAACCATTTTGGAGAGCAATTTGGAACTATGCCCAAAGGGCTATAAAAATGTGCATACTCTTTGACCCAGCAATAGCACTTCTAGGGCTGTATCCCAAAAAGATCATACAAATGGGAAAAGGACCCACATGTACAAAAAATATTTATAGCGGCTCTTTTTGTGATGGCAAAGAATTGGAAATTGAGGGGATGCTCATCAGTTAGGGAATGGCTGAACAAGTTGTGGTATGTGAATGTAATGGAATACTATTGAGCTGTAAGAAATGATGAACAGGCTGACTTCAGAAAAACCTGGAAAGACTTGTGTGGACTGATACTAAATGAAGTGAGCAGAACCAGGAGAACATTGTACACAGTAACAGCCACATTGTGCAATGACTAATGTTGATAGACTTAGCCCTTCTCAACAATACAAGGATCTTAGACATCTCCAAAGGCCTCATGATGGAAAATGCTATCCCCATCCAGAGAAAGAACCATGGAGTCTGAATGCAGATTGAAGCATGCTATTTGCTCTTTTTTTTTCTTCTGATTTGTTTTGTTTCCTCTTTCTGGTGGTTCCTCCTATTGGTTCTAATTCTTCCTTACAACATCACAATGTGAAAATATGTTTAATAGGAATGTATATGTATAGCCTATATCAGATTGCTTGCCATCTTGGGAAGGGAGGTGGGGAAGGAGGGGGAGAAAAATGTAAAACTCAAAAGCTAATGGAAGTGATTGTTGATAAATCAAAATAAATTAATTAAAAAAAACAAAACCAAAACAAATCATCAACCAGTCTTCCTCAAGGGCGTGTTTAAAGGGGTCAGGGATCAGAGGATCAGAGCCAGAGGAGTTCAGACCATATCAGAGATCTCAGTGACTCAGTAATCATCAATCTTCTTTAATGCAATATTAAAGAGACAAGGAAGGGCAGTTAGGTAGCACAGTGAGTAGAGTTCCAGGCCTGGAATCAGGAAAACCTGAGTTTAAATCCAGTCTCAGACACTTACTAGCTGTGTGGCCCTAAGCAAGTCACTTATCCCTTACCTCATCTGTAAAATGGAGAGACACTGAAGAAGGAAATGGCAAATGACTCCAGTATCTTTGCCAAGAGCTGGACATGGCTGAGTAAACATTTCATGAGACCACAGGACTTTAGACACCATGAAATCCGAGCTCATTATTTTGCAGCTGAGGAAAGTAAAGCCTAGTGAGGGATAAGGACCTGGTTCCCCCAATTTGGGAGGGCCTTCTGGAACCCTCCCAGACTAATCCCTCATTTTTATGTGAGGAAAATGGGGCCGTAGATTCGAGGTGACTCGCTCCACTTCACACAGGGAGAATCCAAAATCTAGACCTAGGAGGGACCAAAAAGACCACCTCATCCATCTTCCTGCCCACTTTAGAGAAGGAGAAACTGAGACCCAGAAAAACAAAGTGACTTGTAGGCATACTGTGTGCAGGATAGCAGCTCAGGAGTTAGGCACTCAGAGCCTTCTCATTAGACTGAAGAGGACCGAATGAGGCGTCCAAGGTCCCCCTGGGCCAGGGCTAGGAGCTGGGCCCCCTGGCTCCCTAGCCTGGACTCTCCCCACCTGCCCCCTAAAGTAAGTGCCTGCTGACCAGCTTCATCCTCAAGGGGCTTCCCTCTAAGCCAGGTCCTTCACCATCTGCGTGCCCTTAGGCACTCTGGTGGAGCCTGGCGACCCATTCTCAACATCAAAGAAGATGCTGAGGATTGCAAAAGAAATAAAGGACAGTGAAGCAAAGAAGTCATTTTCCCCCTGGTCCAAGTTCACAGCCCTCCCTGTTCCTCACCTCGGAGCTTTTCTTCTTGGCGGCCAGGTTCTTAGGGCCCCTGAACCTCTGCCGAACTTGCCAGAGCAGGAATAGGCAAAGGATGAAGAGGTTGCCGCAGCAGCGGGGTTCTCCGCAGCCACAGCCATCCGTGAGGAGGCCTTGCACAGGCTCCCACGACTTGCCCCAGAAGCGTCCAAACAGTGCACAGATGCCCAATAGCGGCAGCACCATCTGGCACTTTTAAGGGTCAGGCCTGAGCCAAGGTGGGCGATGTTGTGGCAGAGGAAGGGGACAAAAAGGAGGTGTTAACAGCTTGCTCCTGGGTCCTCAGGCTTGACAGGGGGGCATCACTGCCTCATAGAAAGCCAGGTTACTGAGGCCACCTCACAAAGGGGCTGCCCCCGCCCACGTCCTGGCTGGCTGCCTAGTGTGGCCTCAGTCAGGAGGGCCTGGGGACTTTTTTTCCAAATGAGGGCAAAGAACTCTTCTGAGGAAGCCAGGGGCAGTGTGGCAACTCTAGAACACAGTGGGCATGTGGAGGTCCAGCCCATCATGAGAGGCAGTGAAACGTGGCAGAAGAGCCTCAAACTCAGAAGCAAACAATGAAGGCTCAAATCCATTCTCTGCTGCTCCTTCCCCCAGTGCCCTGCCTCCCCACCAAGTCATCATTTCTTTCTTTCTTTTTTTTTAGGCAATTGGGGTTAAGTGACTTGCCCAGCGTCACACGGCTAATAAGTGTCAAGTGTTTGGTCTGAGGCCACATTTGAACTCGGGTCCTCCTGACTTCAGGGCCACTGCACCACCTAGCTGCCCCCTGAAGTCATCATTTCTCAGGAAGCGGAGGGGCCTGACCCAGATGGCCACTAAGCCTTCTGAGGCCTTCCCAGCTCTGACATCCTGATCTTAGCTACTCTGAAGTCTGACATTGGGTCCTAACATCCTGGGGCCTCTGGTCACTCTCTGCATTAACACCTGACATTCCATCTTCCTGTGTCTTAGGTCCCTCCCACCTCTGCCATTCTATCCCGGAAGGCTCCACCCAGCCCTAATACGCTGTTTGAGGCCCCCCAGCTGTCATGCTTTGTTCTAAGATTGCTTCTGTCTCTGATAGTACACATTCTAAGGTCCGGACTCTGACTTTCCAGGTTCTAGAGTCCCTTCCGCCTCCCACTACAATGAACACTGCTTTGTGCAGAATTCCTGCATGTGACCCTCCATGGAGGAGGGAAGGGAGAGCCCACTTACCATCAGGGGAGCTCAGATGTCCGTTCCTGGGCTCTGTGACAAGGATAACAATCCCTTGAGTCTCTGGGCACTTTGGTAGCCTCTGGAAGGCAGCCGGAGCGAGGGGCACTTAATAGATGCATCTGGTGGACTGCTGTTTTCCTTTGTTCTCTGAACACCAGGCTAGGTCCCTTCCCTGGCTATTAGGGCATGGTGGCCACTAGGTGGCTCGGTGCTGGACAGCTCTGTAGAGTCAAGAAATTGTACCTCAGAGGCTTACTAGCTGTGTGATCTTGGGCAAGTCACTTGCTTGCCCTCTGTAACCTTTTTGCCTCAAGTTTTCTTATCTGTGAAGTGGGGATAATCACACCACCTACCTCGAAGGGTTATTGTGAGGCTGAAGTGGGATAATATTTGTATAGTACCTGGCATCTAGGGTTAGAGTTGGAGGAATTTAGGGTTAGGGCTAGTATTATTATAACCTTGTATTTATTTGGTCTGGGCAGCTGCTTGGGGCAGTGGATAGAGCGCCAGGCCTGGAGTCAGGAAGACTCCTCTTCATGAGTTTAAATCTGTTCCCAAACCCTTCTAGCTGTGTGATCCTGGGCAAGTCACTTCACTCTGTTTACCTCGGTTTCCTCATCTGTAAAATGAGCTGGGGAAGGAAATGGCAAACCACTCCAGTATCTCTGCCAAGAAAACCCCCAATCAGAGACAAGGTCATGAAGAGTCAGCCATGACTGAGAAACAAGTCAAAACAAATTTATTTGGTCTATGCAGGGTTTGGGCTACCTGGGGTGTGATGTATATGGCCTCATAGGCTATCGACATGTTGCTTGCAGGAAGAATTGAATCTCTGGAATCTTGCCCACCGCTTTCCAAGGCAGACTAGGACTCCTGCCCTGAGGGGAGCAGGAGAAGGGCCTCGAAGCTGGCCAGTGTTCTTCAGGCTCTGAGAGGGTATTGGGCTAGAAGAATCTTACACGTACTTACCCCTCTGAATCCTGCTGATCAAGGGGCACGGTTTTTAGGTTCAGAACAAAAAAATCATTTCCCTGGCTGCTAGTCCTTAGCTCACCCGCCCCTCCACCAAGTGACGTTCCACAAAAGACCATCACAAACAGAAATCAGAGAAGTTACATAGGTTCAAACATAACAGAATACACAAGAGGGAATGAGCTCTTCGGATGGGAGTGAGATGAGGTCTGGCTCGGTCGAGAGAAGGGCCCTGATCTCACTGAGACCAGAATTCCCTGAAGCCCTAGTGAGGGACATGCAGGGGAACTAACTTCCCCGAGTGTCCTTCACTTCCAAAGTCTTTTTTCTTTCTTTTGTTTTTTTTTAAGTGTTTATTGGTGTCCTCTGTATCTCATATCATCATAGTTACCACCCAGATCCCTCCCACAGAGCCATGCCATATGACAAATAGTATTTTTAGAGGAAAAAAAATATCAGCACAACTGATGATATATTGAAAAAGTTTGAAAACACATGCAAGTCTGCCTTTCTTTCTTTCTTCATGTGTCTCAAAGAGGATGGGTCTTGCACAGCTGTCTGAGAATGACAGTCTTTCTTCTCCAAAGCTCATGAACCAACCAGGTCCCTTCTGAATTCACAAAGTAAGCTCAGCGTTCTCTCCACCAGACAGTCATCAACATACAAAATGCCCCCCCACTTGCGCCCCAGCATTTTGCCCCATGCCTTAGAGAGCTTCAAGCTCTAAATCCAAGACCCTATGAATGAATGAACCAATCAGTCCACAAGCATTTATTAAGTACTTTTACTAAGTGCCAAAACACTGGAGATTCAAAGCAAATACAGGGAGGTAATGATGTACAAAGGAGGTCCATACTAGGTGCTAGGTGCTGGGTATGCAAAGAAAAAGACACGCTTCCAGCTCCCTCTTTTTAGAGGAGGAAACTGAGGCCTTGGAGAAGCCAAGTGATCTGTCCAAGGTCACACAACCATTATGCAGGAGAGCAGGGTTCCCTTCTATTCCACCAATATTCACTGAGAGCTTTCTGCTTGCAGAGAGCCCTGGGCCAGCTCTGGGGCAGAGGCCACCCGTCTCTGGAGTTGAAAAACAGCCTCAAGAAAAGCCACTAGATTTGGCAAAGTCTCTGGGGACCTGATAGGGCAGGAGGACAGCTGTGGTGGCTGGTGAGGAAGTGGCCATCTCAAGCCTTGACCAGTTTTTATTTTTCTGTATAAAAAACAAAAAGGTTTAGTGATACTTTTGGTTTTTAAGTTAGTCATTTCAGGATCTAACCTGCTCTCTCCTCTGAGTGTCCCCTAAACTTGAACCCTCTCTTGTGACAAAGGATTAGAGCTTGGCCCCAGGGCCATCCCCCTATAAGGGAGGCTTCCTCTGGTTTAAGGATAAAGAACCGTTACCATGTCCATTCTGACAAAACAGGTAACGTTCTTCATTTAGAATCATCAGTTAGAGCCACCATTTATAAGGTGTTCTCCTGGCTCTGCTATAATTAGCCTGTGAAATCCCAGGCAGTTCCTCCGGTCCTCCTCTCACAGCCTCAGTTTCCCTATCAGTACACTGAGGGAGTTTGACTAGGTCAGGAGTTCTTAGCCCTTTTTGTATCATGGCCTTCTCAGGCAAGAGCAGCTGGGTGGCATGGTGCATAGAGCACCAGATCTGGAGTCAGGAAGACTTGAGTTTAAATCCGGCTCCAACACTCCCTAGTTGCGTGTCCCGGGGCATGTCACGTCACCCTGTTTGCCTCAGTTTCCTCATCTGTAAAATGAGTTGGAGAAGGAAATGGTACAACACTCCAGTATCTCTGCCAAGAAAACCCCAAATGGGGTCGTGGAGAGTCAGACACGACTGAAAGTGACTGAACAATTAATTCCTCGGGCCATCTGGTGAAACCTATGAACTGCTCTCAGAATCGTGTTCTTAAATGCAAACAATAAGATACTCATAATTACAAAGGAAAATAATTCTATTCAAGGCAAGAAGCATTTTTATAGTGCCTACTATAAAATATATAACGTCGATCACTGTGTTATGCACTGGGGCTATACAAAAAGACAAATAACTGTGAACCCTGCCCTCAAGGTTCTTACAATCTAAAGCGTGGCTGGGAGAAATGTCTCCCAACATCTTAAGGACAGTAAAACGATTACAACTTAAAGCCACACTAAGACTTTTGGAATGCCCTACACAAACAAGATTCTTACAAGCTAAATTAGAGCTAAGCCCCAAGGGGGAGGCACGAGCTTTAAGCGGGACTGTTCAAACCTTGCAGAAGGTGAGATTTTAGCTAAGAGTAGAAGGCAGCGGGGGAAGCCAGGAGGCGGAGACTTCGAGGGAGGGAACTACCCTCAGCCAGTGAAAAAGCGCGGAGGTGGGAGAGGAAGAGTCCTGTACCAGGAACTGCCAGAAGGCTGGTGCTATATGGAAATAGTTATATACATATACATGTATATGTTTAAAAAACACAAACACAAAACAAGTTCACCGACCCAAGTTGAGATGCCCTAGCCTAGGGGAACTCGAAGATTCGTTCCAACTTTCTTGAAGTATGGGAAGGGCTGTCTCTGGTAAAGGAGAAGCAGACCAAGAGCGCTACAAACTGGAGCGGTCTGGGTAAATGAATGACGGAATGATTACAAAAAATAAATGCATTAGTATCACAACGATCCGGCGCGACATTTATCCCGGAAGGTTAAGGGGCCGCGTCCACCAGCCAGTGACATCCGGCAGCGGGGAGCGAAGGGGGAGGGGGCGGAGCAGATGACAGAGGACAGGGGAGGGGAGAAAGGCGGGAGGAGAAGGGAGAGGAGAGGGGAGGGGGCGGGCCAAAGGGTTCCGCGCTGGCTCCGCCCTCTTTCCCAGCAGCCTCATTCCCCGGTGCCCCGAGCGGGGCCTTTTCCACTCCAGACGTCCTCCGTGAAGCTTCCGAGCCGAGAGGATTTCTCCTGCTCCTGCGATCCAGGGCTCTTCCTAGGAGGGGGTCGGACGGCAGGATCGCGAGGATGGTGAGTGTTCCGGCCCCGCCAGGGTGGGCGGCGGGCCTGGCCGGGCCGCTTGCTTGTGCTGCGGCGCGGGGGCGGCGGGCGGCGGCTGCGGGGCACGGGCCGGGTCT